TACCATGGGGGGGGGGAGGGGGGCGCTCTAATGGTCTCCGGCAAAATGAAGACGACGTGGGCTAGGAGATACGATATAGTGAGCCCCCCATCACTAACGGAGAGCAAGCAGAGCTGAACACCGCCTTGGTTCGGGCTGGAGTAGGACGCGTGGCGCGGGAACGAAAGCGCAGCAACCGGAAAGTGAGCCCTCCCTGCCTAAGCGGGAGGGGCGTGCGGGCCTGCGGAAGGGAGGGCGTGGCACCGGCGAGTGCGGGACGGCGGACACCGGCCCGCGGCCCTGGGNAGAGGCGTGGAGGGGCGGGCGGGGGTGCCCGGCAAGCATCCTGTCTGGGGGAGGGGACACTCGGAGGGCGCTCCCGTGGGGCGGACTGGAGAGCGCGGTGCGCCCGCCGCCGCCAGCGTCGCCGGAGCCACTGCAACCTGTGCCGCCCACCCCGGGGATCGGCCGGCGCCATGGACCGAGGCCGGGGTAAGAGGAGCCGCAGCGCCCGCACTTGTTGCTGCGCGGGGCGGGGAAGGGAGACGGGGCGAACAAGAAAGAGGCCAGAGAGGAGAGGGGAGAGAGGAGCGGTGGGGCGGTGGGGGGGTGGGGGATGGAAGGCAGGTGCCTCCTGCTGCCCCAGGCAGCCCGGGGTTGGTTAGTTCTGGGGCTGAGTGGCCTCCTGTGTCTAAAACCAACGTTTCATACACTCAGTCTTAACTTCATAAAAGAATCCCCCACAAAATTCCTGAGTCCCGCGGGCTTTCCCACTCCATCCCCCTCAGGAAGGGTACAATAAGGTTGACAGGTTATAGTTCAGAAACACCCCGATTGTGAAGACCCCACTGTGCGTCTGGGGAGAAGCCCCAGGAGACGGAAGCCCGCAGCTGCCTAGGGCATTGGGAGGAGAAAGCAGGCATGCATGGGTGTCTGAGCCCTGGCTCTGTTCCCGACAAGCTGTGTGGCCTTAGCCCAGTCCCTTCTGCTCTCAGGGCTAGTTACAACGTTGGACTACATAGTCTTCCTTCCTGCTTGAACTCTCAGGAGAAGAGTGTATTTGATAGAAGTTTCACAAAAGTGGTGGGGCTTGCAGAAATTGGAACTGACATGAGAAAAGAGAGCAGCGTTCATAGGGGGCTGTGCTTAAGAAACGGCCTAGACATCTCAAAGAGCATGAGTCTGTAAAAGAGGTGCTTGCTTGGACATGGGGATTGTGTCTAAGGCTGGGACACCAGGGTCCTAACCCCCCACCTCTGGGATCCAAAGAGATCACAGGTGTGAATACAGTTGGTAAATTGGTGAGTGTGGTGCCAACAAAAGAAGCATTATTATTATTGTTCATGGAAAATTCTTCCCCCTCCCTACAATAATCTTGCACCCTTCATCTGCCTGTTTGCTGTGCTGAGGCCACCAGGGGGGGAAAGGAGTGACCAGGGGTGTGGAAGCAATTAGGAGGGCACTGGGGGCAGGGACTTGTGCATAAGCAAGTGTCAGGGTAACCTTCCCTACACTCCCATTTGAGATAAAGCCAGAGTTCTGAGGGCTATAGAGGACCCCTGTCTCCCAATTCAAGATTTATAAAGCACCATTATATAGGAGATTATATAAAGATTTATAGGAGTCACCGTTAACTGACTCCTCGACACATCTGCAAAGAGTATACATACTCACAGGGGAAGAAAAAGAGAAAGAGAAAAGAGGCACCTCTAATGTCCCTCAGTCCTCTGTCCCCACCTCCCACTATCATATATCTAAAGCAGAGCACTACCCCCCATCCCATTACCCCCCACAAATTGTCAAATTTCACACTGTCTGGTTCCCAGTACAAAAATCCATAACTAGCTTGCCCATAACTATGGAGAGCAGACTATGTCCTCCTCAGACACACCAAGGGTGACAATGATTCACTTAGTTTTAAATACTTAATAAACGACCGGCCGGCATGGTTCAGCAGTTGAGCATCCACCTATGATCCAAGAGATTGCAGTTCGATTCCTGGTCAGGGCACATGCCTGGGTTGCAGGCTCAATCCCCAGTAGGGGGCATGCAGGAGGCAGCCAATCAATGACTCTCATCACTGACATTTATATCTCTCTCCCTCACCCTTCCTCTCTCTGAAATCAATAAAGATATATTTTTTTAAATAAAAAATAAAAATAAATACTTAATCGCTTCTCGGACTTTTGGCTAAGATCAAGTGTGAATACTTAATAACTAATGCTTCACTTCAGAAGGCTGCCTCCAGAGCACTCTTGCCAGGAAGCCGGACTTCCCAGGAATTTGTTAGGACTCAGAATGTTCCAGGGCTCTGGCCCTTTCCCCCACTACAGGCTTTCCAAGGCTACTTTCCTTCTTCCCAGTTCTCATCACAATGAGCCATAGCTAAGAGTTAGTTATCCAACTACCTGGTAGTGTCTACCTCCCCTACCCCACTGTAAGCTTCCAGAGGCTGGGAGTGGATCTGTGTGGACACTCCGCTGATACAATGCCTGGCACACAGTAGGAAGCTCACTAACAGGGGTTCAGTTAGTGCATTAGTAATATAAAACATACTTTGTAGTGCACCTCAGGTTTATTGTAATGCTGGTTTTTTTAAAAAGAATATTACTAAGTCCTCACGTCAGAACAGTTCTTTGTGACTTGTAAAGGCTTTCTCAAAATGCCAGCAAAGTAGATGGGCCACACAAGACCTGGTTATCTGTCTAGATCCCTAGTTGTAGTTGTCTGCCATGATAAATTACTGCAAACACTATGAATGAAAGCAAAACATGACTATTAATTAGAATGCAAAATCTGTGTGTATTTTTAAGATAAAACATGAGACTTGAAAAATCATTCCAGCAGACATTTCTTGCTGTGCCTCTGTCCCCAGGTGGGTGTGTGCATACCATTCTGTTGTCAAGAAAGGTTTCAGAAGTACAGGTCTCATTTCAACCCCGTACCTACCACATGGGGAGTGGGACAGTTATGCCCAGGACACCGTGGAGGAAACCACACTTCAGTATTAGTAACAATAACAACTGAAATCATTAAGCTCTTACCATGCACCAGGCACCATGCTCAGCTTTTTCCATGGCTACTCTTGGAACAAGTGATAGGATGGGGGCTATGATCATAGGAAAGCAGGCTTGGCAGGTATATTAGACAGCTAGGGTTGCCTAAATACCATAGGCTGGATGGCTTAAAGAGCAAACATTTATTTTCTCACAGTTTAGGAGGCTAGAAGTCCAAGATCAAGATACCAATACAGTCGGTTTCTGGTGAGACCTTTTTTTGGAGCTTGTAGATAGCTGCCTTCTCACTGTGTCCTCACATGGCCTCTTTTCTGCATACACGGAGAGAGAAAGAGCTCCAGTGTCTCTTCCTCTTCTTAAAAGGACACCAGTCTTAGGGGATTAGGGGCCCACCTTTATGACCTCATTTAACCTTAAATATCTCCCAAAATACCCTATCTCCAAATATAGTCACATTGGGGGTTAAGGCTTCAACATACGAATTTGGGGGTGGGAGTGGGAGATACAATTCAGTCCATAACAGCAGGGGTTAGGTCACTTACATTAACTTGCATAGTCATGCACCATGAGAGGAACAGAGCTGGGTTAGAACTAAAGTCCTGAGTGTAAGCTTGCTTCTGACTGCCTCCATGGTGGCAGCTAACCTGCCCAAGCCCTACAGCAGGGCTTGGATGCCAAATCTGGCTACAAGCCCCGGCGCCTCCACTCCCAGCGGCGGCACTGTTCAGATCTTCAGTAGCAACTATAGCATCAAAGTCAACTGATTGGAGAATGGAAACAAACCTGGGAAGTAGGATTTCTCTTCTAATAGTATATGTATCTTCCAATGAGTAAAGCAGGATTCATGTGATGTAGTAACAGACTTCGAAAAGACTTATAATAAAATTCGCCTAGCAAAGGTAATACCTTCACCATAGACTAATACACCACCTTTTACAGGACAAGTAATTAACATCCTTATATGAGGATAAAATATAGATACTGATAATACCTATTTCTTGGGGTTGTTGTAAATATTAAGTGCACGGAAAATACTTCAAGCAATGCCTAGCACTTGGGAACCACTCAGTAAGTGCTGGCTATTGTAATAATTACAATCTTATAAAATCAGATTTAACATAATAAAATTGCTTTATAGAACTCTGCTTGGTCCCTCCACATGTTGGTCTGACTCCAATAACACTTTTTGAGTCCCTGCTTTGTTTTAAGCAATGAGCTGGTCAGTTTTTGTCCAACTCAGAGTCAGGGCCCATGTCATGATCTTCTCTGTATCCTGGAGCTCCTTTGTGGTACTTGTCTCTCAGAAATCCAAGTTCAATAACTGGACCGCTACCTAACTGACATTTCTGAGTGTCTATTTCCTCTTATTTATTCTATGCATTTGTGCCTACTGACTATGGTTATGTCTTCACAATTTTGCTTTTGTGAACTTTCCAGTCTTCTCAAGCCATCAGCTCCTCTTTAAAGTCTTTGGTCTCAATTTTCTCTGATTTTTTAATATGCCTTCTTAATGTCCAAGGTTATGTCTGATCTGCCTGGCTCATATGAAGTAATTGATTTCCCCAAGATTCCTTTCCTTCCCACTTCACAACTAGTTATTTTTCAACTAATCAAATTCAATCCAAGATGAGAGTTTCTTTTGCTGCATTCTGTATTGTTTGGGAAATCATACTGTCTACTGGGAAACTCAAGAAATAATTTGAAGCTCTGCTTTTCATTAAATGAAATTTTTATTATTCAAGAGGTGATAAAAGAACCCATTCTAACTGCCTTGACCTCTGTTTGTCCAGCTTTGAGAGGATTAGGAAAGCCACATATTCCCTATCCATAGCTTTCATTGACCAAGCAGCCTGTATCTGCTCCTATGACGAGCCTGTCCCCATGGCTGTGCATTCCTATACCTCTTCCCTGACATCCACGGTCATTCTCTTCACCACTTCTATTAGTCACTGTCCTTCTGTAAGGAATACTCATCCATACTGATCTTTTCCGCCCAAACATGTTCTGCAAGGTCACCTTCAACAGCCTGGCAACTCAGTAGAACTGAGTGGGTCAGAGAATGAACGAACTGGGGTTTGAGTTTGACTGCAACTTTCTAGCTGTATGATCTTGTATGAACTGGGTAAATTACGTAATTTCTCTGAACTCCAGTTTCATTTCATTTGGAGTATCATGAGGAAAGCTAGCACTTAGGAAATATTCAATAAATGACAGATGTTATATTTATCAAATATAATTACTTGGATTTTAGCCACACTCTGCAATGGGTATATGCAGTCATATGGGGCCATGCTATTTAAGCTCACTCTTTTCCCTTTAGAGGCTTCTGCTAGTCACTGGGCACCACTTCCATTTCCTTGTCCCACTCAGCCTCCCTAGTGTTTGGGCTTATCCATTTTAGTCAGGGTTTTTTTCTGCCTCTCCCTCAAATATCAGTTTCAAGCCCCACTTCTCACGTGGGTGAGCACCCTGCCA